ACTAGGGAGGGACCCTTTTACTTACACTAGGAGGGACCTTATACTTACACTAGGGAGGGACCTTATACTTACACTAGGGAGGGACCTTATACTTACACTAGGGAGGGACCTTATACTTACACTAGGGAGGGACCTTATACTTACACTAGGGAGGGACCTTATACTTAAAACTAGGGGGACCTTATACTTACACTAGGGAGGGACCTTATACTTACACTAGGGAGGGACCTTATACTTACACTAGGGAGGGACCTTATACTTACAGTAGGGAGGGACCTTGTACTTACACTAGGGAGGGACCTTATACTTACACTAGGGAGGGACCTTATACTTACACTAGGGAGGGACCTTATACTTACACTAGGGAGGGACCTTATACTTACACTAGGGAGGGACCTTATACTTACACTAGGGAGGGACCTTATACTTACACTAGGGAGGGACCTTGTACTTACACTAGGGAGGGACCTTATACTTACACTAGGGAGGGACCTTATACTTACACTAGGGAGGGACCTTGTACTTACACTAGGGAGGGACCTTATACTACACTAGGGAGGGACCTTATACTTACACTAGGGAGGGACCTTATACTTACACTAGGGAGGGACCTTATACTTACACTAGGAAGGGACCTTACACTAGGGAAGGACCTTATACTTACACTAGGAAGGGACCTTACACTAGGGAGGGACCTTATACTTACACTAGGAAGGGACCTTACACTAGGGATGGACCTTATACTTACACTAGGAAGGGACCTTACACTAGGGAGGGACCTTATACTTACACTAGGAAGGGACCTTACACTAGGGAGGGACCTTTTATTACACTAGGAAGGGACCTTACACTAGGGAGGGACCTTATACTTACACTAGGAAGGGAACCTTACACTAGGGAGGGACCTTATACTTACACTAGGAAGGGACCTTACACTAGGAGGGACCTTATACTTACACTAGGAAGGGACCTTACACTAGGGAGGGACCTTTTTACTTACACTAGGAAGGGACCTTACACTAGGGAGGGACCTTATACTTACACTAGGAAGGGACCTTACACTAGGGATGGACCTTTACTTACACTAGGAAGGGACCTTACACTAGGGAGGGACCTTATACTTACACTAGGAAGGGACCTTACACTAGGGGGGGACCTTATACTTACACTAGGAAAAGGGACCTTACACTAGGGAGGGACCTTATACTTACACTAGGAAGGGACCTTACACTAGGGAGGGACCTTATACTTACACTAGGAAGGGACCTTACACTAGGGAGGGACCTTATACTTACACTAGGAAGGGACCTTACACTAGGGAGGGACCTTATACTTACACTAGGAAGGGACCTTACACTAGGGACGGACCTTATACTCACACGTGGGGGGGGACCTTCTGACTGAGGAAGGTTCTCTGCAGAGTAATGGTTCGGTGATACTGACAAGATGTGGAATAAGATACTTAGGCTCAGTTCAGAACATTTACTAGAGTGGTTTCCTCAGTCGTCTGTGTTCTACATAATTCTAGGAGAGGTCACTAGGTATTTAAGAGGGATCCTAAATTTAGATCATTGGAAGAAATAAACTGTCACTGCCCTTCAGGTTTCTGTGAGAAAGTGACCTATTTATTCTCTGAGAAAGGTACCGTCTATTTATTCTCTAAGAAAGGTACCGTCTATTTATTCTTTGAGAAAGGTACCTTGTATTTATTCCTTGAGAAAGGTACCTTGTATCTAGGTCTGAGAAAAAAATGGATATTTAGTCTAAGAAAGGGAGGCACAGTATACTTAGTTCTGAGGGAGGTACCATCTATCTAGATGGGAAGGAGGGACCATCCACCTAGGTGTGAAGGAGGGACCATCCACCTAGTGTGTAAAGGAGGGACCAATCTATCCTAGGTGTAAAGGAGGGACCATCCACCTAGGTGTGAAGGAGGGACCATCCACCTAGGTATAAAGGAGGGACCATCTACCTAGGTGTAAAGGAGGGACCATCCACCTAGGTATAAAGGAGGGACCATCCACCTAGGTGTAAAGGAGGGACCATCCACCTAGGTGTAAAGGAGGGACCATCCACCTAGGTGTAAAGGAGGGACCATCCACCTAGGTGTAAAGGAGGGACCATCCACCTAGGTGTAAAGGAGGGACCATCCACCTAGGTGGGAAAGGAGGGACCATACCACCTAGGTGTAAAGGAGGGACCATCCACCTAGGTGTAAAGGAGGGACCATCCACCTAGGTGTAAAGGAGGGACCATCTACCTAGGTGTAAAGGAGGGACCATCTACCTAGGTGTAAAGGAGGGACCATCCACCTAGGTATAAAGGAGGGACCATCTACCTAGGTGTAAAGGAGGGACCATCCACCTAGGTATAAAGGAGGGACCATCTACCTAGGTGTAAAGGAGGGACCATCCACCTAGGTGTAAAGGAGGGACCATCTACCTAGGTGTAAAGGAGGGACCATCTACCTAGGTGTAAAGGAGGGACCATCTACCTAGGTGTAAAGGAGGGACCTCTACCTAGGTGTAAAGGAGGGGCACAGTCCACCTAGGTGTAAAGGAGGGACCATCCACCTAGGTGTAAAGGAGGGACCATCCACCTAGGTGTAAAGGAGGGACCATCCACCTAGGTGTGAAGAAGGAAACATCTAGCAAGACATACAGGAGGGAACGTCATACTCACAGTCAAAGTATCGTTCAGGCAGGAAGTGCAGTATCTTACTGGATCTTAGCAGTGGTTCCCGATCTGCAAGGAACAACACTTCTTAGTTATTATATTCACGGGGAAGCCCTAAACCGGTAAGGGGGGCCATGCACCGCCTGGGAAATGGAAGGTAATTACGTTTAATGGGATTCACTGCAGCTCGAGAACTTCACAGCATCAACACGCCTTCCTTGGAGTTTACTATTGAAATTTGTGTATATTATTATTTATATTAGATGTGGAGGTATTGATTGTAAGTAGCAAGGTAACTCGTACTGTATCGGACCCTGTGGTTGAGGTGCTAGTTTAAATTAGGAGGAAAGGTAGTGTAGAAAAGTGAAAGTTACCATCTTCAGTGTTTCGATGAGTGGTTTGGTTGGGGGGGTTGGGGGTGTGGTGGGGTGGGGCTGGTGTGGTTTTGGTTTCTGGTTGGTGGTGTGGTTG